TTTATTTATTTATTTATTTTTTTGTACCGGGGATTGAACTTGGGACCTTGCTCGTGCAAGGCAGATGCTGGAACCACTGAGCTAAATCCCCGGCCCTAAAGAGCATTATTTATAAATATTACTCTAAGGGCTGGGGATTTAGCTCAGTGGTTTTGCCACCTGTTGTGCAAGCACAAAGACCTGAGTTCGATCCCCAGTACCCCCCCAAAAAAAAACAAACAACAAAAAACAAAAACAAAATAAATATTACTCTTTGTAATAGAGCAATTTATGCAACTAAAAGAATACCTCAGATGCCATTTGTCAACACAGTAAAACCTCACTGATTAAATTTAGAAACTCGGACTTATGTCAAGGAAAAAATGTCTCTGATGAAAGGGCTTTCTCTGTAAATAGAAGACTTTATTTTTATATAAATGTATATATATTTTTCTTTTTCTATTTATTTATTTGTTTGTTTGTTTGTTTGTTTGCAGTGCTGAGTATTGAGCCTGGTCAGTCTCAAACCTGCTATAGGAAAGTGCTCTATTATCGGGCCACTATCAACCCCTGTTTTTAGTATTTTATTTTTTAAATACATTTTTTATTAGCATCTATTAATTTTACAAAATACTAGGCTTTGTATTTTTAGTGAAATGTTTCTATATTTGTTTTGCAATCCTGTTCTCCTTGCCAAAACAAGGTACAGTATATGGGTATGCATGTGTGCACACCCATATACCCATGTGCAAAACAGGAGCTCAAAGTCCAGGTTTCAAGTGTAGTTCTGAGTAAAAAAAAAATTACCGAAGGTGAATGCCAATAGTTCTGATGTTTCTGCATACACTTTTGCCAACTCTTCTCTACTTCTGTTTCAACAAAACAAATATTTTTGATACATCACATACTGATTACTATACATCACATATTCTATTACATCACACACTGAGAATATAAAAGAGAGAGGGAGGGAGAGTAGGGATGAAAAAGGAAGAGAAATAAAACTCACACACCCTACTCTCATGATGTTTATAATCTTATAGAAGACATAACTATGTATTCATTAAATTATATAAAACGTAAGATGTTTTTATAAACCTTTAAAGAAGAATAAAAACCCATGTGGTAATATAAAAAAGAGAAATGGCAGATTCTACCTGTGGTGGGGTTTGGGGACCAAGTGACCCCTGGATTGGTCTTAAAGGCTCAGGAAGATCTTAGCAGAAGATAAGTAAGGTATTCAGGTGGAGAATATAGCATGTACGTAACAAAGACATAAGATAGGAAAGAGCCTGGCTTATCTGGGATAACAACTTGAAGTGTGATAGAACTATACGATGTCTACATAAAGGGGAAGACCTGAAAATGAAAGCCAAAAAGTGAGACAAGAGTCAGGGGCCAGGGATTTAGCTCAGTGGTTCCAACTGCCTGCCTCCCAAGCATAAGGTCCCAAGTTTGATCCCCAGTACAAAAAAAAAAAGTCAGATTATCAGAAACTTGAATGTCATTAAGGAAAAGGCTGTCATGAGTGTGCCTGAAAAAATCTGAGCATATGTGTGAAATATCTAGGTATAGGATATCTCAAGTACAGACTTGCCAATTCTGTTCTCAAATATTTCTACTTTAATGTCACCTATATCTGGAAATCTGCTTTTCCATTTACATTCAACATCACCACATTTCTACTCTTTTCCACACTACAATGTCATGTCTCTAAACAGATTCTTTAGATAATCCTTTGTGTGTGTGTGTGTGTGTGTGTGTGTGTGTGTGTGTGTGTATTTTCAGGTTGAAAGACTGTAAACTTTCTGGAGAAACTAGTCTCCTGTAATTTTTTAAAATTTAAAAATTTACCTTAGCAATCACAATACAAAATCAAAAAATGTTGTGTAATTATACATCAAACATATGAGACGACTTACAGTACTTTACTATTTTGGTAATTTAACCATTGGTACTATTCTTGCAATTTTAAGTACTTTCTGCTTTAGTCTTTTAGGTCAACTGCCAACTAGGATTTAGATTAAAATGGACATGGCAACTACAGAGCAAGTAGTTTATAGATACATATTCATCACAGGAAAATCACAACCTTGAAAATAAAACAGTACAAAGGCCTTAGTACATGTGTTTAGAGGGTAAAAATTTATCAGGACAACCAGAAAAAGTAGTCTAAAAACTCTGATCCAGGATATATTAACATAGTAATAGCTTAAAGTACCTCAAATAAACAGCCCAGGTTCTGAAAATACTCTTGTACCAAAGACATTCTTACTTACCAAACATCCTTTGTTTTTTTCTTTTTTGTAGCAGGAATCGAACTGAGGCCCTTGCACTTGTCAGGCAGGTGATGTGCCACTGAGCTACTACATCCCAGCCTTCTTTTTTCAATTTTTATTTTTTATGATTACATTCCTCCTGGGGAATCGGCACATGTACATAACACATTTTAGTTCTTTTCTCAACCTCTTCCCTCTCCTCCCTCCCTACTCCCTGCAGCTCTTGATCCTCTTCTTATTTGCAAAAGCTCTATCTTCCCATTTCCTATCTGCCTTTTATGTTGCTCCTTATTTATATTTTGGGTTTCTCATACAAGAAAAATCATGCAATATTTAAGCTTGTGTGTCTAGTTTATTTCACTTAACATCATGGTCTCGGGCAGGGTGTTTAGCTCAGTGGCTCCACCGCCTCACAAGCGGAAGGTCCCAAGTTCGATCCCCAGTACCAAAAAAAATCATTATGGTCTCAGGGTACATTAATTTTCCTACAAACAACCAAACTTCCTTTGAAGCGAACCCTTGCAGTAATAACCATAGTTTCCTAAGGTCAACTGGCAATCTAACATGTATCTCAATCTCTAAAGAGAAACAAGCAGTAGCATTTAAAAGACACACACACGCACACACACACACACACACACACACACACACACTCCACCAACCTCTTTAATCTCATGTAGTTTTCACTGGCAGCAGGTCGGCATTCAGCTCTTTGAACCACTATTCCTTCCAATGAGAGTTTATCTTGAATGGAAAGAAAAAAATATATCAAATGTATTAAAAAATAACATTCATCAGTTCAAGATTGCAATTTTTTTTGGTACTGGGGATCGAATTTGGGTCCTTGAGCTTGTGCAGCAGGTGGTGAAACCACTGAGCTAAATCCCCGGCCCAAGAATGCAATTTTGTAATTTGCATATTACTATAGTAATATGATAATCAAATATAATTAATGGTAAAAATCAAGGAAACAAAGGAATACTATTAAGTTCATAGCAACATTACTGGTTAGAACAGAAAGGAACCTTCTTCACCTGTTGGGTTTATTTCTTAAGTTGCTATATCCCTTTACCAATTACAGCTTTTACACATTTAGCTCTTTCTAAATAAAGTGGCTTAAAAGGGCATAAAATCATTATGAAAATTTTGACAGATAAGGAAGCTATCATCTTTAGCAGAGAATTTTTTAAAACATAGCTAATTTAAACCACTAAATCAAAGAGATGTGTGTCTAGAATTTCCAGTGACTATAACAGCCAGCCTAGAAAATTCTGCGAAACTGAGTGGATCACTGTCTAGATTATACTGTGTACCCGTTCAGCCTGCCAGTTGTTCTGACTTGTTTCCCAGAAGAATTATAAATTTTAGTGTGTCAAAACTGAACTGCTATGAATATCTGTTCAAACAAGAAAGGTAATTTTCCCTACCATTTATAATTCTTATGGTGACCCTGACTTAAAACCTAGGAGAAACAAGAAAAGAAAATAAAAGCTAGCATCTACTGTGTGCCTACTGGATACCGAGCACAGTCATGTGACAGAACTTATCTATTATGTCATATGTACATGAATGTCTCATACTGAGACCAGGTTTACCACACTGCGGGAACATATTACTGCCATTAGAAACAGATATGGTTTAATCATATATCCTTGACAAATATCTGAGTGTTAAGAAGAGACTCAGGAAATTCCCTGACAAATTGGGAATGCATTTATGATTCATCTCTTTAGAGTGAATTACTTCATTCATTCCACTAACATTAACTAAATGCCTACCATGGAAAGGGCACTATCAAGGCTCTATGGAATCAAAGATGATTATGAGGTGTTGCACATCTGTTATCCCAGAGCTCTGGGAGGGGGAAGCAGAAGGGTCTAAAGTTAGAGCCTAACCTAGGCAATCAACAAGACCCTGCCTCAAAATATAAATAAAAATAAATAAATAAATAGCACTGAGAATATAGCTCACTCAGCGTGGAGGCCCTGGGTTTAATCCCTAGTATTACAAAAAAAAAAAAAAGTCCTTTGCTGGAAGAGACACATTTACTGGAAGAGACAAATACACTGAACAAAATGTGGAGTACAACTAGAACCAAACCTCTACAATCTATATTAGAAAAATCTTTCTTCTTAGGGACCTTTCCTGATTTTGTCTCAAAAATCCAATGGATTCCATATTCTAGCTCCTAAACACCAATTACAAATATACTGTGTGTATTAACTATTTCCAGGGTCTTTCAATGCACACAGACAACAAACCTCAAGGAGAGGCTATCAGATGACTCAAAAGAGCAATGATGAGAAGCATGCCTACCTTACACCAAAAATACTCAAGGGAGGAAATAATAAAAAAACTATAATTGTTTTATATTAAATTTAAAAATCTAAAAATAATTTCCTCTCATGAGTGAGTTTAATAAGATTAAAATATGAATGTTTTGAAAGCAAAAATAAATCTTATAGGGCCGGAGATTTAGCTCAGTGGTTCTGGTGCCTGCCTTGCAAGCACAAGGACCCGAGTTTGATCCCTGGTAGCAAAATCAATCAATCAATCAATCAATCTTATATTCAAGTTTGCCCCTCTGTTGAAGCTGAAAGTTCTATCAGGAAAATTTATTCACTCATCATAGTAACAGCAAGACTTGGGAAATTCTGATATATAAAGTGCCTCAAATGCATGAAGAAAAGTGCAATACTGGAACATTAATGCTTTTAAAAAATAAACCCAGAATACCATCCCTAATATAATCATAAATTCAAGTGTTTATTAATGTGTAATACTAAAAGAGCTACCTTTTAAATATCACTTGTGAATGTTTCCCATTTATTTAACAGTACCTACTCCAGGTGACAGACTGAATTTAATTTTTAGTTAGAGGCTTCTAAGCTGGGCATGATGGCCCACACCTATAATGCCAGCACTCTGGGAGGCTAAGGCAGGAGAATAACAAGTTTGAGCTCAGCCTGGGCAACTTCCGCAGACTTAGCAAGACCCTGACTCAAAAAATAATAAAAGAGCTGGGGATGTAGCTCAGTGTGAAGGCTCTGGGTTCAATCCCAGTATGGCACAAAAAAGGAAGAAAAGAAAAGAAGGCAGGCAACGGAACCACTGAGCTAAATCCCCAGCCCAAAAGTAAGAAATTTTTGAAGAAGACTTCTAAAAAAGGTGTACTAGTAATAGGAAAATAGTTTTGATTTCACAGACCCCTTGAAAGGGTTTCAGAAATCCTCCTACCTCACGGTTCCCAGGTACATTTTGAGAGCTGCAGGTCTAGAAAAATGACAAAACAGGTATGCAAATCATTTTAATACAACAGAGGCATTTTTGATACACCTCCACTTCAGTCACTTCCAGATGAATAAAGGCTTTCAATTCCTCACCATTAAATATAGTGACAGATGCCCATAGCTCTCTATACAGAAGTGGGTAGCAGGTTAATCTCTAGCACTCCCACATACTTCTGTTCAAATTATTTGAGAATTTGTTGATGCTAGTTTTAGTAATAATGCCATTTGATTATGCATTATGTAAACTCACTAAATTATGAGTATGCAGGAGAGGGAGATGTTTCTATGGAAAAAACTGGGCTGAATAGTTTGGTAGGCCTTAATATAAAGGCTTCTCATCTCTGTCAAGTTAGGTATGGGTGGAGACAACTGGAGATTGGAAGACAAGCATAAAATTCTAGAAGGATGAGCATTTTTATTGTATCACAGTGTCTAAGTTCTCCTTTTATGAAGAAACCAAAAGTGAAAATCTAAACTAAATTACGGGTTTAATTTCCATAAGAAAGATAAAGTAGTCAATTAGTACCTTATACTCAAAGACCTTACTTTACATGAACATCAGGAGTTAAATTGTAAGCAAAAATGTTTAAGGCATTAGGAATGCATATTGATATCATTTAAAGAATTATTTTCCTACATTTTAATTTGACCAACTACTGGTCTTTCTTTATGGTGTATGGGATTCCACTGTACAAAACAGAATTTGTTAAAGTTGTGTCATAAAACTAAGATGTGCATAGAATACTAGGATTAAACATGTGCACAAAGAGATTATGTTCAGTTGGGGATCAGGAAGAGCTTTGAAATGAGAAAGAGAAAGCAATGTTTGTGTTACAGATGGAAAAATGTGCAGGATTTAGACAAGTGGTGAGGGTGGTGTTGCAGTCAAGGTTTACAAGGGAATAGATTTAATACAGGACACATAATTTACAGAATTATTTTATAACAGTCACCCAAAAAAGTCAAATGCAGACAAGTGCAAGAGATCTGTCCACACTAGAGGAACAAAGAATCCAGCTGAGGGCTTGGATCTTAAGCTAATGTCCCACAAGTCCAGTTGGAGGCCTAGAGCCCACAGCAATGTCTCCTGCAAAGTTTGTATGGAGGATCTGCACCAGGAAGGCCCAAAGGCCAGTGGTGGAAGCTACAAAGCCTGCACTGATGGGGTGAAGGATTTGTGCGACCAGACTAAGGGAACTACACTGAAGCCAGGAAACAATGCTCAAGGAGAAGATCAGAGCTCCCCTAACTAGAACAGTAGCCATTCTCAGTGACAGTGAGGACCTGAGCTCCTCTGACAACAGCCAAGTTCTTATCAGGAAAACCAGCCACAGCAAGCTTCTCCAACAAAATCAACAGCAAACAACGTTCCCATTGAGTTCTCTTTTTATGTTACTGGCAACAATCCTCAGGTGGGTCTTTCACCCCCAGACCACCCTGATTCAGTTCAGCTGGGTGTTCCAAGTTGACCATTAGTTAATACACCACAGGTGGTGAGAAGGAAGGGCACTGAAGGTATGTGAATGACCTTAGCAGAGGCTTTTGGTATGTGCCAGGTGATCCCTTCTACTTGAAATTTTCAACTAAGGGACTCACACCACAAATCACTCAAAGGACAGGGCAATGATAGCAAGAGTAGCAATAAAGCTTCTAAATCGTACTGAAGGCTTTAGAGTGGTTCAGCTCTTACTTTTCTTTCTCTAGGCTTGTTATTTGTTCAATGCTTCTTTGTATTATGGGGAAAATTCTAGGCTCTTGTCTAAATCCCCCCACACCCCACCCCTTTTTGGCTAGGTTGGTTTTCCTAATTGGTTTCTGTGACATACTTGCAGCCAAAAGAATCTTAGTATGTATGAAGATGATGATGGTATCTTACTTATGCACATGCTGCCACCTAGTTTCACAAAAAAAAAGTGAGAGAAAATTTTAAATGGTGGGTACATGAAGCACATCCTATAAAAAGTAGGATTCTGTCACTAAATTACAGCGCTCCTTTGGAGAAATTATATCTCTGAGCCTCAGCATCTCTATAATGAATTTCTGGCATCTCTGAGATCTCTTCCACTAAATAAAAACATTAGCCTTCTGCTCCAATTGGGAGTGTCTTATTTCATTAGTGTTTATTTTGTTATACTCTCAAAAGGACCTAGATGCAATTAAGTTTTCTCTGGGTATAAATTAGAAAGTGTTTCTTGGAATAACAACAAAAGAAACTGTTTAAAATTTGAAATTATTGCAATTTCTGCTTTAAACTGCAACGTCCTACTCTATATCTAAACATTAAGATAAATTCTATGCTCAAAAACTGAAAAGAAATGACCAGGTGTTGCTTCTTTCAAGGTAAAGGCATTCCTAGTTTGAACAAGTTAAAGTAATGAGTAAGCAGAAAGGGCACTTATTAGCACTGGCATCTAAGTAATGAGATCATGTGTATCAGGAAGTCCTTAGACATCA